AACAGAACGTTGTTTTCATGTGTCAGTTCTCAAAATATTGAGAGCACACCACTTGCTCTTAATGGTCTCTCTCTTATTCATAGACAAAATACAGAAGGAATAGGGAGGGAAAACAGAAAGGAAGGAAAGAAAGAAAGAAAGAAAGAAAGAAAGAAAGAAAGAAAGAAAGAAAGGGAACATATATATCCTATTTATTCACATGTCAAATTATTGGAGAAAATGATTCTCTTTTTCATCGGAAAGGTCTCAATTGCAACTTCCTTGAACTGTACAGGTAATCCTCATATAGTGACTACCTCGTACAGAAACAGTTCGCACTTACAACAGTGTCAAAAAGTAACCTTGTGACCAATCCTTGCATATATGATCTCCGCATAAAACTGCAAATCGAAGGAAAACTGAAGGAAGATTATAAAAGCACTTGTGGTTTCACTTGGCAACTGTTTCACTTAATAACTGTGTTGCTGGTCCCAATCGTAGTTGTTTAAAAGAAGCAGGCCTGCCTGCCTGCACAGTGCCGGTGATTGCAGATAATGTCCCATTCTGTTACAAAAGGAAGATAACCGAATGGTTGCGTATTCAGTGTGGTTTATTTTCTGTGGTTTCCAATGGGTGAGCCTGTGCAGTTCTTGGCATTTTGAATTTATCTGCTTGAAGGCCAATGTGGGCTAGTCCTACTGTGGGGAATGAAAATGAAGGTAACATGGATGAGATTGGAGATTTTAAAAAATGCTGAATTATAAACCTACACAAAGAAGTGCCCCGGAATAAACTTTTGCAAGTAAACCCTCAACCATTGTGAGGAGTGGGTGATTTGGAATGAGGCAGCATCAGTATAAGAGACTTCTTAATTCCTTTCCACCCCACAGATTCGCAGCCCACTTTGCTTTCCAACCACCGGCTTTCAGATACAGACTTGCAAGAGTGGAAGAAGCCGCTGGAGAGGAGAGAGTGGAAAAATTTTCCTTCGGCCATTTCCTATTATACAACCTTCCCTCCCGTCTTCCGTTTGCACATTGGACTATGGCTTGCTTGTTTAAGTCTGCTGCCTTGCTTGGTTCACAGGGCACATTAGTCCATAAGCTCCCAAGGTGGGTTAAGCTATGTCAAAAACCATGGCTAGGTAGCATGTGTGAACGCAGAAGGTTTAATATTTATCCAGAAGGAAGAAGGTTTCTAATCAAGTAATTACCCACCAAGGCAGGGAAGTTGGTGTTGAAAGTTAGGGAGTGGTCAGGCAGTCCAATCATGTAAACAAGTGTGTGGAAAGAAAGCAGAGATGCTGCTATTGTAGTTTCAGAAGGGAAAGAGGTTGGATGAGCTGGTCCTTCCGTTTTTCGTTTTTTGTTTGCCAGTCTCTACTTGGAGGGGATGAGAAATAGAGATCTGCTTTACTTGTGGAGACTAGGAGGTGCTCCATTAAAAAATGTTTGTGTCCAACATGCGGCCCGCGGCCCACTACTGGACCGTGGCCTATTGGCCACTGGGCCGTGTGAGTAGCTGGCTGTTGTACATGTATGTGGTACTCTGTTGCACAGGCACTTGCAACCCCACTCATGCGAGCACTCCCAGCCCATTAGTGTG